TTGTTGGCATTCGTGATCAAATGCATAGCAAGAGTGTGATTTTAACGTGATCTGGTCTTGATATGATTGTAAGCAGAGTATTTCTCTAATGGAGCATTCATTCATTAATTGTTAATTGTGCTTTCTGAATATATTTTTAGCAAAAATTAAATTAAATTTTAGTATAATAATGAAGCTATATTCATTTGAGCTGAGTTGAGAATCACAAACAAAAAAACGACAAATTTGCAACAATAACAGTGTTGTATTGTACCCGTTTATTATTGTATTTTGCTTATATGACCAATATTAATTTAAGTAGATAATGTAAAAAATTAGACAATAAATTTGTCTAAGTAAATTTTAGATAATTGAAATTTTGTAAGTTATTGACTTACAAAATAATTTTACATATGTGCCTTCAATCGATTACTAGATATACCCAAATATGCGTGAACGATTGAGTGGTAATAAAAACAATAAACACATGTTATAATAATAATAATAAGTCTTGTTCAACGTCAATGATTTCGAGCAACCTCTTATGACGGGCATAGGCTGTCTGTAAGTCGCTTCCACCTTTCGCGCCGCAACGCTACGTTTATATCATTAAAAACACATGCTATGCAAAAGAATTGAAGAATGAACTATTAGATCACAATTTACCTATTTTATTTCTACAATAGATAATCTGCGAATATCCGAAATCAAATTGAAACAGAAATAGCATCCACAATTTTCTTAACCGTTTTAAGATATAACCTATATTTCTAAAAAATACTCTATGTATGTTGTGATCCTATAACATTTCATTATGGGATCTATTATTTGTGTTAAACATCTATCATCTAACATGCTTAACGGTTATATAATTTTAATATTTCTATGTTATATACTTCTTATGATTATATAACTTTTAAATAATTTACTAAGATGGTTCGCAATATTAAAAAATAAAAGAATAAATTGTAGTTTATGTAGTTGATAATTTTATCGACTATACTCATTTCTCTTTCATTACAGACTTGCTATATCCCCACATACATACATACACATATTATATATAACATAAATATATATATATAATCGGAAACAATGTTTCTCTTTTCTGATCTATCAAGAGGTATAAGTCAAATTTTTCAAATTTTTCGCCCCACAAAGCAAACTGTCGATGTTCTGTGTGAACAGACCGTACCCATATAATGCGAAGACAACCAGGTATACGAGGTTCTTGAGTGTTTCATTCATTGCTATTTATTAAATGCTAGTTTTTGTTTATTACATAAAAAAATTTTCTTTTAATTTAAATTATTTTGATTCTAATTCTCCTGCTCCGCTTCTTTTTCATTATTGTAGTGCTTTTTCTTCTTTCACTTTTACTATTCCTCCTTTCTCTTTTACTACTCCTCCTTTCTCTTTTACTATTCCTCCTTTCTCATTTCCTAATTTTATTTTTATCCTTTTTAGAACAGGCGATACTATCTATGATATATTCATTGCTGGAATAGAAAATCCTCAAAGGTCCTAAATTCAGATTCTAAGTTTATATTTCTCACAATACCCGAACAATATTGCTGCGTATGCAAGGTTTTTAAGTAGGTAGAATATCTAATAAGATAAGATAAGATTTTTAAATTGACAATATTGCAATTCCAAATATCGACTGCCGATTATCTCCATTACAGTACATTTTGCCATTTCAAAATAAACTTAAACTTTAATTGGTTTTAGAGACTGGTGAAATCATTGGCTGAAGATGCCAGGCAAAATGATTCGATTTCGAAATAAAATTTATTATTTAATTTAGATATTAGATATATAATTATCTCAAAGAAATAGAGTGACATTTCGAATTAATAAGTGGATTATCTATTGAACTCATATGATCTTTATTGCGCGAAAAAATTTTTTTAATTACCTTTCATTTCGATCTCATTAGATAATATTTCATATTTCTTTTTCATATAGCTATCATAATCTTTATATAATCTATTAATTATTAATGCAAACAATTTTTTTATAATTATTATCTCTCACATATATAAGTATAGTTATCTTTTTATTTGCATATACAGCCTATACATTCTTATAATTCATATCATTGCATTGATGTCATTATTATTATTTTTTGTATTTTTCATTTTTTTCAGATAATCACGGAAATGTGTGCACTTAGAGACAAAACAAACAAAACAAACAAAACAAACAAAAAAAATAGATTTGAAATTTCGGTGAAATTGAAGTTTTTGAAATGGTGCCATTGGCGATTATGGACCATTAACAGAAACCCGTAAGTCCGAACTTGTACTTGTAAATTTGCTACAAGATTGGCGTTATGGGGCTCTGTCAATGCAAACAACGATTACAATGTTGTACAAAGCACAGCAAGCCAAAATCCTATTTCCCACTCTATGAAAAACTTCCCGGAATAGCATATCAAGCATATCCAGCAGCAGTTCCATATTCAAACTAGAGAAAGCAAGGCTACGAACTTCAGTGGAAAATATTAATAATTTTTCTGGCAAATTGAGGTAGTAGGTTGTATAGTAGTACTTAATTAAAAACGTACTATACAACGTGCTAGCTTTCTTTGCTTGACTACTAGCAGCATATTTGAAAAGTATCTCTACAATTACAGTATGTCTCATATATATATATACATATATATATATATATATAATATATTACAAGAAAGTCTAATCAAAATAATAAGTGTCACTTATTTGTGTTTTTTGCATCCGTTTTGTATTATTGTTATCGTGTCAATTTTGGTGTTTCTATCTTAGTTTTTTAATGAATTGTAGCTCTATCTGTCTCTCTCTCTCTATCTATTTTTCTATCTTTCCATATATATATATGTATATATATATGTATTTATATATATATACTCGTATATATAAGTATATAGTTTTTCCTTTTAAGTGTTCATATTTATTTGTTTGAGATATGTTTGTACGGCTGATTCCCTGAGACCCTAACTTGTGACTTTTCACATCAGTTTCACAAGTTTTGATCTCCGGTATTGGCCACAAACTTGCTGTTTTGAAAGTTTCTTTTCATATTGTTAAGTAGTTAAAGTTTTTTTTCCATTTAAATTAATATATATTCCTAATTTGAATTGTAATCGTTCTATTGTTTAATCATGCGGTCTTGAAATCATCTATCATCTTACTGCTATGTAGATGTTTACTTCCGTTTAACTATTTGAAGTATTTAAGTATTTTTGTTTTTTGTATTAATGAATACTCTCAAGGGTAAGTAAGAATACATGAATAACAATTAATTAACATTAATTTATAGGTTGAACAAAAGTCATCTGAAAGAGTTCTAAGAACGAAACTATTAGAATTTATGCACTATGGGAAGAAACACTCACACTAGATGATCTGAGTAGAAGGTTCAGCACCAAAAATGCTATAGTTTATTTATAAGTATAATTGAGGATAAGTTTATTATATTAACATCTCTCATTTCAGAAGTAAAAACTCAGCGATGTCTGTGCAATTGATTTCTTATAAGTTTCAACTCTAAAAATCCGAAAAATCAAAAAACTTCAAAAACTTCGGAATAAGGTGTGATGAAACAAAAACAAAGTAGAGAGGTTACACATTTACGATATTCATTAGAATACTCAACACAAGGTACTGTATGTATTGTTGTTGTAGCCCGGACAGGTTACCTTTTTTTTGACTCCTTAATGAAAGATGTGAGCAGTACTTAATCATATGTACAGGCAACACGTAGATCTGACCATTCCTATAACCAATACTTTTATTTATTTAGTATTTTTGTATATATTATTTTTTTTTACTGTTATTAAGTTTTAGTTTTTGTTTATATTATTACAGAATGAATAACTAACCGTCTTGCACTTTTGAATAGCTTTCGAATTGCTAAACATCCAATTGTTAGAAGCCGAAAATTCGTAACTATGAAAGTTTCTAGTATATTTGAAAAACGTATCAATGCACTCAAATTGTGACTCTTCAAGGTGAAAACCCGAATTTCAGGTGTACTTAGTCGGCAATATCCGTAGTTATTATAAAGTCAAAGGTATGTTTTTTATAACACTGTCTTGAATGTATTTATCCACCATATATGATTTGTCTCTTGCAGCATAAATTCTCATAAACTGCTAATTCCTACAAGCATTGTGGTCAAATCCCGAATTCACACGTCATTGATGATCAAGTGCTTCACTCCACTCTTATTGAAACTTCACAGTTCACAGGAAAATCAAACTAAACAGGTATTCCAAAATCAGTGAAAATACAGCGGTTATAAGAAAAACAAACATTGTTGAACCTGAAACTTACAGCAGCTCTCTAGTCGTATTTTTCTGATTTTGAAAAAAAACACAGCACAATAACAGATACAGATATGAGAACATGTTAAAGACTCATTTCATCTTACCTACATAAAACTGATTACAAAATATTTCGATCTAGAGAAATTAAATTATAGTCTCTGCAAAGAAATTTTAGTCTATATTTAAATTAAAAATCTTTTTTCTCTGAACTGTGCTAAGAATTTTTTATGTTCTTCTGCCTTTTCAGAAGTGTTAAATGGCACTTGGTCGTATTATTTGATTAAAACGTCATTTATAAATATTCTTCTCTTTCTTTAAGCTTTCTTTATATTTAACTCCTACAAAAGTTAGTCCACAACTAGATACATCTGTCTGAACATACAGAATGTTTGCTCTGCTTAAAGCGTAGTAAATTTTCCGACCTGACTGTTTCGGATTGTCTAAGCCAGGGGAAGACTACCAGCCCAGGAGTTGGTAACCCAGTCTGTTGCTAGAAAATGCCTGATAGGTAACATGTTGACTTATTTTTTGAAATACAAAATAGCACAAACGATTTGCATTACTCAGAATGGTCGATGCTCTACTTCGTTGTAAGGCAGTATCAATTCTATTCTACTTTTATATTTCGTCAATAAAAATAAAACAATATCAATTAAAATATATTTAAAACAAATTAAAGCAACAGAGATAATTAGTAAAAATTACTTTTATATCAAAACTTAACGTTACTGTATATGCTTTACTTAATTTTTATAAGAGAATTATGACAGATATCTTCAAAGATTTGATTTCAAGATGTAAAACATAATGTGCACCCAGTTGGAGAAAATCTTCAAATGATATTGATGATATTCGTCATCTACATACTCTATTCACGTATAACAGCTTGCAGTTATAAAAGTTTACAGACTAAAAACTCATCTCTTCAGAAATTCAGTGATTATGTCTTACGTAGGGTTTACTTTTTACTACTCTTTATAAGTAAAGTTATATGGAGATTCTCTAATATTTTCAAATGGACTTTTTGCGATTAATAGATGCAAGACAAAATTAAACATTTTTTTTTGTGTGTTTTGAGAAAAATTAACATGTGATATCGCAAGCCAGAGTTCATACAGATACAGCTATCTAATTACTTTTCAGTAAATAGTCTATGAAATCTTTTGAAATTTCTCAGATCATGTTATAACAATTATTATATCTTCGTTTTCAACATTATCATCGTCATCATCGTCATGTAATGTGAAAAGTTTTCTGTAAAGTTGGAGATTCTAGTTATTAATAGTTTACTTTATATTCTGTGAATGTGCGTTCATTATTTGCACTGAACTCTTGAAGAATTCATTTTTATTATGTATTTGATCCAGCCCAGTCTATGAGATTGATTCGCATACATCATTCTAATGAATTTTGTACTCTCCTTTTCGGTTGGCTCCTTTTTGGAATAATGTTTTTGGCTTCTGCAGCATAATGTATACTATGTATAATACTTGTCGAATTGTATTCCTGTAAATACCAGGAATATATTCCTGTTAATAATTTCGTGATACCAGTCCTGAGTTATAATAACTAAATACGTATTTTCACATTTTTGGCGTCGTTATCATTCCTCAACGCTATATCAATTTATGTAAAGTTCGTTACGCCTTGAAATGTGTGTGGTCGTCAACATAGACGATCTATGGTCGTATTTTTCTTGTTATGGAGATGACTGGTTACTTCCTTTTTTCTAAGTCCTTTTTAGCGAAATTGCTAATGCTGCTGCTTCCTTTTAAATTCAGAAATTTTCTTTCGCAAGACTGAAACATTCTTTTAATTTGATTGGTAGCTATTTATGCAGAACAAGCTTGCAAATTAAAAAGATTGTTTTTATAAATTTTTAATCTAACCAGATAAGATATTAAACAATGTTTTAATGTTATGAAACTCAGTAGGTGTATTATTCATGGATTTAAAGATGAAATGATGTAGTAGCTGACCTTAAGAAAGTTAATGTACGTGATTAATATGCTTTCGAATAAAAATAGAAAAATTGGAAAGTATTCGTTAAATGAGTACTTTTTCATCAGTGACTGTAATGCTTAAAAATAAAAATTCATTGACTTCTATAACACCCCCATATAGAAACTGTTGAAACCTACACTAACTTAATTAGTAACGTATACTGCAGAAACTCTTCATTCGGTTGAGGCGATATTTAAACGAAGAGTATTTTAGGCGAAATAATTTTGAGTATCGATATACGCAAAAGCTCTTCAATATGTACACCGTTATCTAAATATATAACTTATAACAGAACCTTTGTGAATCTGTTATAGCACAGACAACAATATTATGGATTAATACGAAAAGTTACCTAAATCTAATCAGTTATCTAAATATATAACTTGTAACAGAACCTTTATGAATCTATTGTAGCACAGACAACAATATTATGAATTGATGCGAAAAGGTTTGTGTATATATTATGAAATGCTGGATAGCCGTTCCATATCGAATGTGTAGATATGTCTGACCATATCAATTGCTGGTGCGCTTTTTATGTAGGAACATAGGTATTCTTTATTGTTTTTTTTCCATATCTTTTTTTTTCTTTGTTATATTTAGGAACCTTAACATTTGTGTTTCGCTCTTACACTGAGCCTAAATATCCTAAGATTGATGTATGATATATTATAACTATATGTTTAATAATATGGCTACGGACCTTGAAGCGATGGAATGCATATTATTATACTCAAAAGAAACTCAAATACTCGACTAACCTGCGTACTTTTTTCCAGTTCTATAAATAGCAGTACTTCGCTAATGGGATTTCATTAAAATTGGAAGTTGATCCGGATCAATAAGACATTAAGGTCATTAAGGAGGTCATATTAAAAATCTATGTAAAGTTTGATAAACGTTTGCTTATTTATTTTAACAACAGAAATTTAATAAAAACTGAACAATAATCCATTGATAATTAAATCAATTCATTAACTAACATAAATGATTAATTCACATGACCAATACTAAAGTATATAAGCAAATAGTAAACAATGCATATTAGCGAATAATCAGTACATGAGATTTATTTCACTAGACCATCGAGCAGACGTATTCATAGCATGTGATCGGGATTAGCAAATCTGCTGTCGACTCGGTCAACACTATCTTGCATTTTACAATTTTTTCGGATTACTGAGGATTCGGAGGATATCCGAATTACTGGAGGCCTTAACTAACCCAAAGCCGTACTTAATTGGTATGTGTTCTAACTTTCACTTCTATTCAAAAACTATTCTATTAATATTTATATTAATATTATTTATATTAATATTATTTATATTAATATTATTTATATTAATATTATTTATATTAATATTATTTATATTAATATTATATTTATATTAACATTTTATATTATTTTATATTTATTAATGTTAATATATTTTAATTACAAAGCCAAGCCTTTTTCATTGCAGCAAATGTGCTACAACAGCGCTCTATTAATTCAACTGATCCAAACCTTGCATCTGTAACGATAAAATCTGTAAAACCACACTTTCCCTGGAACCTAAGAAGTATAGATTCCTTTAAGCAAGCCATCCGTCAGTGGCGAATGTTAAGTTAATTGGAAGATCGACTTGTTCACACACTTACTCAACTTGAAGTTAATCGGAGCTAAATGCTAAACCAGTACCATAAACGAATATTTTTGATACAGTCATTGGAGTGTGCCTATACTGCAATCTATATTAGCGCAAAACTGAACGTAACTGATGCAAAACTATTTCTCGTTACACATAGTTGCAACAGCGAATGTGATTTTATTCCAAGATTTATGACAAACGCTTTAATGTCGGGTTATAGTATATACCTACATATATGTACACGTATTAACCATTGCTCACTACCGTTGTTGATATTATTACAATCCAAAAGGATCCACCTATTATTGTTTCAATTGGAAGTGATAAGCAATTGAAAGTGTCGTTTTGGTAGACTATTGTTTTTGGAACGTAGACCTAGCCGCTTTTGGATCCACTATCTTCATATCGTCTGCCTTCGTTAAATAAAACCATACTTCTCTTGGCAGTCAAGTGGTCATAACAACAAAGTGCAAACATCTACTATATTCACCTGCTATATATATATATATTCAAACACCTACTATATTCTGATTTTTTTAAAAAACATAACTAATCTCGAATATGAAATATGAATAATAATTTGTTTCAATCTAATTCAATTTACCAATTGTAATATTTTAAGCATTCTTAAATAAATTAAATTTTATTAATAATAACTATAAACCAATTCAAATGATCTATAACTGAAGTATCTACAACTGCTAAGTAAGTAACAGAGAATAAGATATGTGTGTTTATGTTGAAAAAAAATTAGTGGATAGTAAGCTTTTAAGGATAGTTACAGAGAAGAAACCCTGCGTGATAAAAGAAAAATTCTTTAGCTTTAACCATTAGTAGGCTTGTGAGATATTGATATACAAAAAATTATCAAAAAAATTGGTAAAAGGTTTTTGTAAATATAATCAAAAATTGTCCCAAAAAAAGAAATTAACTTTGGACCATTCAAATATCCATACCGATTCATATATAAAGGTATCGAATTGAGACAAGCTTTAAAAAGAATGTATGTAGTTTTTCTGTAATATTCGTTATATCAAATGACGTTAAATTGGGTATTCGTTGTATCAGAATCTACTGTATATGAGTAACCATTTAAATGAAACAATTTTAGAATATCACGAGTTTCGAACTGAAGGCTTTTCTCGGGGATACGTTAAATATTGGAGATGGATCCGCTACCTATACGATTGTTTTCGTTTTAACTCCCGAAATGAAAGTACTTTCACACCTAAGACTCTGCATATAAGTAATACTATATGTGTATACATTAATGAGAAGATAGCTAGTATTTTTAAGACTTTAAATTTTTAGTCAAAAACAATTTATTTGCAGCAAATGCTTATAAATTCATAACATTATATAAAGTTTTTAAAGTATTACTTATCAAATTACAAAGGTTTTATTTTTTTTCATAACTACAGTTTAGTATATTTTTATGTAAGTAAATGTGAGTGTATATAACGTATAACAATTATTGTTTTAAAATTTCAACTCGAGTTGTGAGCTGTGATTGATCTGCCCTTATACTCTACCTCCTTCGGTTAAAAGTAGTAAGTACTTTAGAATACAAATATTTTGATTTGAGTGTAGTTTGCGAGTTGGAAATGCAGTTTTTTAATATTAGAAGTTTATTGAATGTGGTATCGCATTCAATTAAATTTGGTACTTAAAATTAATTACTTTAATTTTTTTTCTTTATTTTAAAATAAATTATCTTATAGATTTTTTTCGGCGTTGTTAAGGTTCATTGATGTGTGCATTTGTCTTTTGATTTCTTTTTACGATCTTCACTTGAATTCGATCGGCGTGTGCCTTGAATTGGCATATAAGGCGGCGTTGGACTTGAGCTTTGATCTGAAATAAAAACAAAAATTAGTATATGTGATTGAAGTTTGTATATCTACTTTCAAGTAGATTTAATATGTAATACATATATACCAAATGATCCTGATTTAGAGTAGTTCATACGTGGCGACAAATCATGGCTACTTAATGTAGAGTCATGTGATTCCATTGAATAGTTTTCCGATCTAAAAAGAAAAACGCTATTGGTTACTTGAAAAAATTTATATATATTAGATATATATAAGTACATCGCTGAAGTAAGTTACGGCATACGTGAAAACATAATCTTAATTAAAAAGCAAATTATATTCACGCAACTTCTGTGAACAAAAACAATACACATACCCAACCTATTTATTTCTAATATATTTTTTATTTTTTTGGAATTATTCTACATTCCGGAATAAGCATCAACAGTTGTTATTTGTGTTATAATAATAAATATCTAAACAAGGAAACGAATGAATTTTGAATAAGTGAATGCTTATAACCTAGACAACTTATAACATGAATGTCCACGCCACCCGCAAAATCAGCATTGAATCAGAACTTCCTTAAAAAAATTATATTTTGGGATTTGCTCTCTGAGCACATATGCATTTGTTGATGTTATGTGGTTTATTATTATTATGAATGTGGAAGAGCAAATGCCGGCGAATTGGAATGATTGACGGCATTATAGGCAAAAAATACTATATCTTATAATGTATTATTATGTTTTATGATTTATGATTCTAATATAAACACAGCAAGTGGATCTGTTTATAAAAACTTTCAGTGACAATTAACAAAACTACAGAAAAAGGTGCGAACATGAAAGTCAAGTACGGCTTTGGGTTAGTTGGTTAAGGTGCGCTGATTCTGAGCTTCAAATTTGGCAGGACCCAAGTTCGATTCCTGGCACTTGCAGTCTTAAAAAATTATTTACGATTAATTAAATACAAGAATTATTTCCAAGTACACTGATGATGGATATTTGGCAATATTTGAAACAACTGTATGGTCAGCCAAAAATTCAATTAATTAAAATAATATAAAATGAATTTTTGTTCTTGTAGTTCACTACTGTTCGAAAAAACCTCTTTATTGTTATGTTTGTATATAACTATATTCAAGAGAAACGTCAAAGAAAGTGCCGAAATCTTGAGTTTACCAGCCACTTTTAACTCCCAACAGTGCAATGATTTGAAACATACGGTTTACGATGGGCTTATGTGGTTCGCTCATCATGTAAAACGCGCATTGTTGCATCCGGAAATAATTGGATAGACGTCTAATGAAGCGCGTTATAACAATAAAGGCAAAACTAAAAGTCGGACTGCTCGAGTGGTGAAATATGGTGCCAGAAACCATACAAAAATTGGTTTCTTCGATACCAAGGCGACTCGAAGCTGTTATCAAACAAAAGGGTTGGTCATTAAATATTAATTGTAACCTTAAATAATTTTTTTTATTTGTTTTTTAATTTTTGCATAAGATGTGCCAAAAATTTTGTTCAGCCTAATTTAGTACATTAGATAATAAAATGAAATAAAATGATTTTAATTGGAAATTAAGCATTTTGTCTAAAAAAAATGTGTGTTAATTTAAAATCGCTTCATTAACGGGGTAAAAACAGTGTTAAAAAGCAATATGTTTGCTGTGCCAATAATTATGTTTGTCACTGTATATACTAAGGTCATCTGTGCTTATAGTTCAAAACTATATGAACTACATTCAATAGAAATTGAAGCCTTGCTCATATCAATAATATCAATCACCTCAGCTTCTTTCTTATACATATTTTTTTCTTTCGTTCCCAATTAGTTTTTTAGTTGTTTAGTTCACCGATACTAGGCACAATTCATTTATTTTGACATTAAGTATTCTTGGACTACAATACGTTATATAATGAAAACTTTATGAGATAACAACTAGAAGTATTTTTTGCATTGAATTTGAGTAGCAATTGGTCCACATCACGAAGTCAGTCATCACCGATAATAACACGTAGCTCAGCACACACTTTTTAGTATTATAACTTTTCAGAAAAGGTATTTATTTAAAACTAAAAAGTATAGAGAGAATTTTTTGTAAAGTAATTCGGATTACTAGCTGTAACCTTTCGATGAAAGATATAGTATAATTTAAATCGACTGCGCACATCAGTATGCAGCATATCAATGCAGCAGTAATAAATAACATCGATTTAAAGTGTCCTTTAGACCACCCATATTCTTTAGACTATATAATACTTTCCTACAATAATGGCATAATCCATCCATTCCACTGAGAAAATCATCAATAAAAAATATTTCCTAAAATGACAATTCAAAATTGGGTAAGTTGATATATAATTGAGTAAGTACAGTTGATTTCATCTAAACGAGTAATAAAATCCATTTCATTATCACAATAACATTGACAAATGTTTCTGTCTATGAATCGTTAATGAAATATATTTGAACTGCTTTTCATTATTAAATTTGAAGAAATCGTTGTGTTTCAAAAAATTTTGTTAAGGAAAATATACATATTTTAATACATATATATTGTATATACATTGTAGAACACGCCTAAGAATGAAGAACAGTGAGTTGATTGTTTCTCAAGACATTCAAAGATAAATAACTCGTATATTTCCTTTTAGATAAAAAACTTGACAAACTCCACGGCTTAAACCAAAACGAGTACAAGTTAGCACCGTTAGTACAGGCAGAATTTGGCTGCGACCAAGGCGGTGCTACCGGAAAGAAACGTGGTCCTGCAAGGAAACGTGTTCCAGCTATCTGTAGAAAAAATATAAAAATGCCTGGTCGCGGTCAAATGGAAGCGGCACGTAACAAGGCAGTACCTAAGAACAAGGTTCCACGTGACAATTGCGGAGGAGTTCGCCGCAGAGGTGTCGCTGCTCGAGGCGGTTTACGCCGTGGAGATGTCCGGGCTGTCCGGGGAGGACTGCGCAGACCAGGGGTCCCTGCAGCTCGAGGCGGAGTTCGCCGTGGAGGTGTACGTGCTGTTCGAGGCGGACTTTGTCGTGGTGGTGTACGTGCTGTTCGCGGCGGTCTTCGCTGCGCAGGAATCCGCGGTGCTCGTGGCGGAATACGCCGTGGTGGTGTCCCTGCTGTTCGACGAGGCAGAATTCGCCGTGGAGCTGCTCGCAGAGCTGGTCGCAAGCTGCAAGGAAAACTTGCTAATCGCCGTCGTAATGGTGCCGGAGTACGCAAGGGTAAGGCTAAACGCAAGGGTGTAAAACGTCGAGCTGCTCCGAGACGTGGTAATCGTAATATTGAAGTAAGTTTAATATAATTTTAGGAAAGTGTCAAAAAAAAAAAATAATTTAATATTTTGTTTTTTTTTTTTAAATTTTATAGGACATTGCCTTGCCTATTGTGTCACAACCTGTAACCGTCCCTGAGCCGAATATCATTTGTAGAAACTGGAAAATGTTCGCTCTCTTGGCATCAGTCCTAACCATTGCAGGTTACGTGACTTAAATTGTAGTTTAGAACAAAATTGTGTAGTAATAATTTGACAGTAAACACCGACGGACTGGACTGCTGACATGTAAAGATTCTTCAAATAAAAATTTTTAAATTTAACAGTTGGAAAAGAAGGAAGTCTTATCTATTTCATTATCGAATGTTATAAAAAAATAAACGAAAAAATCATGGAAGATCATGCAAACATCACAATTTAAAGTTGTTTTTAAAGTTAAGAACTTAGAAGTGAATATGGGATATACTATTTTAGTACATTGTTTGTATAATTTCTTTGTGCTTATCAATGCGCATTGCAGTTTACATGCTGCATGACATAGCTTTGCTTGTGTACGCGAATTGGTAATAATTTTTTAAATACGTACTCCTAGTAAGGGTGTGAGATAGGTTGAAACAAGTGAGTAAATTGGGCCATTGAGTTAATTACCTTGTCATTGAATTTTGAGGCAATATATGATTACTTTCTGGTCCAATATTCAATGATGCCGGTCTCTGACCTGGACGGCAACTATCTACTGGCAATGTATAAATGTCGTCCTCTCTGTTCAAATTACTGACATGTCTATTGGCGTTGGTGTGGTCACGTGTAAGACTGCCATTTGTAAGTGTGCCATTCTGCACACGTTGCTGTTGGTTGTGTAAAACATCAATGGGATTTGAATAAGCTTCCAAATCCAAGGGATCATCTAGATTGTGCTGCCTATGTGTTTGTTGTACATTATTGTGAGAACCCACATGTGCATTTTGGGCGGCAGTAGTTGAACTGTGCTTAGAGGATGACATGCAATCTTGAGGCAGTGAAAGTAAAGGTCCACAATGTAAACCATTTGAAGTAGAGCATAAGGTTGTAGATGCTGATGATTCCTTCTGCTGACTCTTACGTAGTCGTGCTTTCTCTTTTGCACGTTTGGCTTTTGCTTTTTCCTGTTAAATTTAATTATTGTATTAAGCAGTTAATCTTAATAGGCAAGTGGAATATGTAAGGCTTTTCTTTTACTCACTCTTTCCTGTAACATTTTAGCTAATTCTTTATCTTGTGCTTCAATGGCTAACAAGCGGTCACGTTCTTCTTGCGTCAAACCATCTCCAGCTTCCAATTCTTGCAGTTGTCTCGCAAGTAGCTGTTTTAAACAACAAAAAAGATATTACTAATTTATACTATTTATAATAAGGATGAATTTACTTCGTCTTTTTGCTCCTGTTTCAATTTTTTGCTCATTTCTTTGATTTCTTCCATTGGCAAACCAATTTCTTTGAGGCTAGCGTAATCACATGGATCCACATATAATTCAATATCGTCAGCATGTTGCTGCATATGCCGTTCCACTGCAGCTGCTGCATTGCGCTGATTGTTGTTGGAATTGTTGCCGACAAGTTGGTCGTACTTCTCTGGTGATAATTTCTGAAATTTTTGATCAAGTAAGTTTTCATTGGAGGGTGAAAGTTTTTTATTGATATTTTTAAGCTGTGCCGTTGAGTGGAATGGGGAGGTTGAATCGATTGCATCAACGTTGGAGTTGATGTCATAACGACGTATACTGTCGGCTACATCGGAGTATTCGATGAGTTCATCGACTTGGGGTGTAATGGGCGTGTGCAAGAGAGCGTGCTTTGGTGATGGTGATTGTGGTAGGTGTGGTGTATGTGGTGTAAGTGGTGATTTTGTTGTTTGTGGTGTATTAATGAAATCGAATACATTGCGGCGTGTTGCTGAGCTTGATGCGATTGCTGTTGCAGCAGATGTGGATGCAGATGAAGATGTAGATGATGTCGCCGATATAGTCGATGATGAATGTTGATGACGATGTTGATATTGTTGTGGCTGATGTTGGATGAAATTGTCTATGGTAAGTGCTGGTGGTGTGCGTCCAGTTTTTGAACGTTCGACAAATTGATTGAACTGTTGTTGTGGTTGCTGTTGTGGAGTTTGTTGTTTTTGTGGTGTTGTAATTGGTGACTTATCACTCACCAACATTTGATTAATATTTGTGTTATGAGCTGCATTCATTGGCATCGATAATCCAACATAACCATTTGTATTTGAGAAATGTTGTTGTTGCAATTGAATTGTTTGGTTTTGCTGTTGCTGTTGTTGTGATTGATAGTGATTGGGATACTTATGATATCTACCATTGGATGAAGATGCATCAAGGGAATTTTGTTGTAAGGTACTTGCTTTTGCAGGACGTGGTGGTGGCTTATGCTTATCACGTGCAGCCGGTGGCGGTACCGGTGGTAAGTTAACGTAAATTTCCTACAATTTAAAAAAAATATAATAATATTTGAAAGTAGTATTCGCATCAATTGCATTTACTGTATAAGTATACGTTTACCTGCATTTGTTGAGCTATCATTTCACTTTCTATGAGTTCTCTTTGTTGTTGCTCCTGTATATCAAGTTCCAACTTGTCAGCAATTTCCTTGGCGACTCGTTTGTCGTGTTGCTCTCTATTTTATGAAAAAAAAAGGAAATGTGAAGAAGTTTGATACACTTTATTTTCGTATTTAATTAATCAAAAAATTTTCATTTACTGTTCTATGAGATGCCGTCGATATTCCTCCGCTTGTTTTTCTGCATTTTCTTTTTCTTTAATTTGTTCATGCAAAGCTGTAGGAAAGTCCTCGCGAACTACTGCATTCCGAAAACGATTTCCTTTGTAGAAATCATTAACTACAATCGAGTTTTTTAAGAAAATTATTATTTTGTGACTATATTAAATGACTGCATATCAACTTACTTTCTTGGGATTGCAACTTATAGGCTAAAGCGCCATCTTCACGTACCAACCACTCTTTACAAACTGCAATTAAAAATCAAAAGAAATCAATAAATAATTGTTTAATTGATAACATACGTAACATAGGTAACATAGGTGTTCAAACGGGAGAAAAAATAGGTAAGTTAAAGCATGCAAATATTCGAAAAAACAAATATGTATTTTCCGGTCTGCACTACATTTCAGAGTGAGAAACACTGTTCTAGTACATTTCCTATATATTTTCATGGTAATCGTTTAATAAATATCACCATCTTCTCATATTCATTTCGATACCTTACCTTAAAACTCTTCTTTGCAATATATAGTTAAGGATTTGGTCATTTAAGTATTTTAAAAATCTTTCTTTTTAATTGTTAATAGTTTTTCATTTGGGCTCGCGCTATTCTAATTAATTTGGAACTGGAACTGTTGACTCAAATACTTGATTTTCTTTGCTTAAAAAATATTTTTTGCTCGGATCCTTCGACGGGATAGTTACTAGTAGTTGTTTCTCACCACAAGTAAACAGTGATTGACAAGAATATTCCAAGATCTAATGCATAGAAGTTGTTGTCTTCTTGGTTTGCTTCTAGAGTAATAGTGCTTACTGGAGATGTTATATATAGTATTAAAATTTTGTCTTCGTAAAGAAATGTTTTATAAAATCTGTTCACATTGTCAAACCCATCTACGTGGTAGGCACCTTGACGTGGTGTGGGGACTTAGCTACAACTCGGGCTATACTAATGAATATTCACAGTCACCTGGCACCTGTCTGATGACTGGAATATTCATCGTGTTTCTAGAACGAGGAACACAACTAAGATCTACCTTTAGGTTTAAGATAGTTGTCCATGCAGTCTATGTTTTACGTAGTAGAACAGATTAAGAGCTCTTCTCTAGATTTAATTCTGGACTTTGTTCACAAAGCTTTAAAGGGCTTTGTGTAATCAATAGTAAATTTGGTACAATACGACTGTTCTGGCCGTAATACCGGCTGTTGGGCGATGTCACGTCAAAACTTTACTAATAATGTTTGTTAATATAATAAAATAATTTTCTTATTCCGTATGTATTATTTCTTCATCATTGTCATTAGTGCTTTTAACAGTCCTTCGTCTACTGCAGTGTCTCCTTGCTGTTAATATAACAAGGTATTGAAGATTGATGATTTCCCGTACATCCTTCGTTTCATTTCTCCTTTATCAAGCACGTGGTCTCCTTCGGCTTTTTGTACTCTGTTCATAAGCTTTAAGTATATGTCCCGTCCATTTTATTAGAGTGATCTTGGTGACTTTTATAAACCCTTTTCATGGTGTAAATGACAAATTTCGTCATTGCATCTAATACGGACTTTAACCTTTTCACATCTTAGACTAAATAACTTTCTATATTCCATAGTTTTTTATATATTCTTTATCTAATAGCAACTACATAAAACACAACCCTAAAATTCTGCTCTAATGAAAGTATAGAATAGTTTTTTTTGAGCTTTCCAAAATATTGGTAAATTGTATGACGATATCTTAAGATTCCTTTATTATAGTCATTCAGTAATTCATACCTATATGCAATTGCTGTCATTAATATTGATTCTAAGTAAGAAACTATCACAAACTAGTATAAATAGTAACTGTGTTCCCGTCGTTTTGTCCTTGTGAAGTCCTTGTTCTGTCGTGGCATATTTTTCAATGGATCTTATTGAAATTATTAATCGATAACTTTTATTGTGATATTTAGTCATTATGTTTATTATTGGATAATAGAATTGAATTATTGGAATTTAAATAATTTCCCCTTAATGTTAATGCTAATTATTTTTTTTTTCAACGACCTTGATAGTTATTATGTCTTCAAAAATTTGAAGGTTGGTAAGCTCAATTTTTGTTCATTAAGTTGACCTGTTTATGGGTTCTTTAACTTCAAGACACAACAACAAAACCTAAATACCATAAAAATCAATCAAACTAGATATGCTATGAGTAGCCAATTTGTTGAAATTGTATGAAGTAGTTTTCTCTGCATACAAAGAAATTTCTAAACAAAATTTTCTAAAAAATTTCAAAAAAAAACCTAATATGTGTATAAATATAAAAAAAAAGATGTACTTGAAACAGGAAAAAAAGAAAAAATAAACATGAAAAATGGTATCAAATTACCTTAATGGAAATACAAAAAAAAAAAAAATAAAGAGAAGAAGAACGGCAAGAAAACGAGGCTTTAAATAAGAAATGCGCTTGAAGAATCAATCAAGTTAAGCGATCTTAGCTTCCAAATAATTCCCAAATAAATATTGATAAAATTATGAAGGTTGCTTTTCAAGAAAGATTGATTTTTTTTTCGTGTCAAACGGAACACTAAACACGTACTCGAAGACATGAAATAAAGTTCATACAAAATTGGAATAAGAGGGCGCATAATTCCCTAAACGAAAGCAGAGGCTGACTCATCGGGCTTGTGTGTATGCCTACACATGGAAGACGATCATTAGCAGAAAAAATTAATCGATCAAAGTGAAAATTAAACAAAGAAATTCTAGAGAAGAAAATAACAAGAGAGACGAGACAAGACAACGAGAAGGCATACCATCGAGTACAGTATAGTATAGATGTGGTTCAAATCGTACGTGAACTCTACGGCAACTGAATTGTTGCCGCTGGTGATGGCGTTAACGGGTAGTACCCAGACAATCGCACGTACGCTCTTTGTTTTCTTTTTGGATAATGAAACCTAATTTATATGGAGTTACAAGTAGCGTCGATCATATGCTGCGAGATACTTATGAACTTCAACGCATGTAGAACAGACTAAATCTGACATATAGACAGACAGACAGACACACAGATAAAAGGGAAGGCGGACAGACTGAACTATAAGTAAAGAGTTAACTTTTTTTGTTTATTTAAAACATTTCTTATTGTGATATAACATTTTTACTGTGTATGTGTGTATCTGTGTGTGAAATGTTGTCTGAACTCTTGCCACCCATTTTAAATTTAAATTTACGATTATTTCAGCAGCAGCGACTTTTCGTGTTGCCAGTGATGAGTAATAGGATGCAGTTCCACTTAATATGGCGACAAGTTCCTACTAAAAGTGTGAAACCGATTCTAGTTTTTTAGTACGTGGACAAGAATCGAAGAGCACTTATTCGAGATACATACTTACATACGGCATACGTATATGAAATGTTTACCATTAAAATCAATTTACAGTTTAATTTTTCACATACAATACAATAGAGTTCTTAATACAAAATTAGATTTTTATAATTGGTCTTAGAGACAGAGTTTTATTAAGATGAACTTTGCTACAATGGCTGAGATGAAACATCTATGACTATTATCGATACTTATCTAAACTAAATGTATATATACCATATGTCTATACATAGACATGTTATAGTGGATGATATGAATTAAATACATAACTCAGCTGCTATCATTATAATTCAGATAAAATGTATATTGGAGAGACGGATTAGACGATGTTGCCTTTATTAATAAGATGGATAATAAGAATTTTAAATTATAATGGTGGTCAAGGTTCGTTTTTGATAACATAAGAGATTATTTTAACTCAGCTGAACTATTTATTTTAAATTATATTTAAAAGCAAACTACTCTGTGAATATATTGGATGGGGTCCTGATGAGATAGGTGAGAAAAATTTGCATGATTCATATATACCCAATAATAACTGGAGGGAACCCAATATCTTTTGTAAGTACAAAAGCAGGCGTACTTCACGTGTGGTGAACGGTTTAAATCTCATTTTGGCTATATGAGCCTCGACTGTTAATATGTTGTTTCTCGAATCCCCCACTCATCTGCAAATTTTTAACTTTATGTTTAGAGGTTGTTAAAGGAGCATCTATACATTTTTTTTTTCTGAAGTATTTTAGTGGTATGCGAAAGGTCTGCGAAAGTCTTGCCCTCATATCACTCCATGCAAAATTATTTTAATATTTTTGCACAATCATATTAATCTGAAGAAGGTCTCAATATTAATCAGTTCTTTGACTAAAAGGTCCTTCGAAAGTCCTTTTTCAAAAATCTTATATACAAATAAGTCATCCAGACATTAGAAGTATTTAATAATAGTACCTCTTAAATAATTATAGTTTGGTAAAGTTCATTTATGAAAGCAGAGATCGGAAACATACTTTTCAAAACTAGCCATTCCTTTTTAATATTAAATATTACAAATATTAACAAAATATTTTATTAATGCTTTTCTGTAAAAATTAAGTATTTTTAATAAGAAATCTTGTCAAAGAAAATGATATGGGCGAAAGAGCTGAACTCAATGGTTTATTGCTTCTCTTCCATCTAACAGCATCATCAACGTTTTTAGCACATTTTGCAATACCAGAGTAATTTTTTTTGACTTCTCCGGTTATTGAAAAAATTCTACATGTTATCTTCACTTGGTTTCTATTACAAGTTATCGTCTTGAATGCTTCGTTCTCTTGCATTTTTTTTGTGATTATCGCAATGAGACAGCCAAGCTCCATCCGTTCCTGTATCTTCGAGTTTTCGGAATTTATGCAATATGCCACACAGTTATTGTTTTTCGCAAGTACTTTTGCAGTAAATTTCTTGTTTTTTTATTGCCATTCTTAATGTAATTTTTTCATGTAAATATTTTTTCGTGAGAAACCTTTTTATTTATTCTTTGTTAAGCAAATTTAAATACTGACCAAGAAAGTTAAGCTTATTATTAACAGGTTACTACGTATCGCTACACTCAAGAAAATGCTAGTTAGTTCTTGAGATATTTTTAGCTGAGTCAACAGTAATTTAGCTCCGAACTGTCATTATCAGCTAATAATTGATTCAACAAGGAGCGCCAGATTAGGATTGGCGTAAACATTGGCTATCAAGAACCTAAAGCAATTTTATTCAGTAGTCCCTGTGATCACTTGGGTGATTCACTGCAACAAGTGCTCCATTAAAATATATAAGTGTTCCATTAATGAGTTGTTCAGGTGATTTTATAGAAATATAGTTCAAAACCCAGCACATCTTCGAAGCGGAATA